TTGTGTTTTGTACTTAAAGACTTTGTTGGAGCTTACTTCAAAGGCCATTATTTCCTAGGAAGCACGGGCACATTTGCAAAAATGTGGTGAGGCAACATGTGATGTGGTATCCTTCACACACATACAGTTGATGTGGTAAAGATACGGCTCGCTGTGGTGGTGACAATGATGTTACTAGTACTACCAACCAACATGTTTTTAGTGAGGTTTAGTTTGGTGCAACATGTCCTGTTCTGCTCCTCTGGTACAAGCTTTCATGAAGATTTTCAAATGTTTTGCATGTTTTAGCTTTTCAACCATAAACCATAAATATTTTACGGTTTTTTACCCCTTTCAAATGCATGCTATACATGTAAAAGGATAGATTGGATTATTTAGAAGTAAGGTTGTCTGAGGTACTTATCCGTCAGTGTATGACCGTCAGTACATGGTAGTCGGCACACCCCAGATTGGAGAAGCAGACAGGGTACTGACAGAGAAGCTGAGCAATGTCTTGCTGTGGATGGGGGCAGCAGCAAAACATATTTTAGCCACTTAAAAAAAGGCTTACCTAAAAAAAAAAAACAATATCAGTTCAAGTGGACACTATAATGAGAATATTTTCCCTGTCAGACAACCTTTTCCTTTGGCACTACATTTTCTTAATCATAGAACTTCCGTATTCTTGCACAAAGGTGAAACTGTGCATTACACTGCAGGTTGGCTGTTTGGGTCAGATTTTCAGCGGTGTATGGAAGAGACAGCATATACATGGAAATAAAGAAAAAAGAATGATTATGACAGTGATGACAAAATGCTGTGACGCTACCTTTACAGATCAGAGTATACAAAAGAACCTTTGCAGAGGGAGAGTGAATGAGTCAAAAGAGCGATGCGTGGGAATATGACTGTGCTAAGGTTGAGAAAATGTGGGGCCAAAGGAAAGGGTTGTCAGACAGCAAGGTGAAGCAGGTAAGATATTTTCAGTATAGTGTCCACTTGAACTGATATTGATTTATTTTAGGTAAGTCTTTTTTAAGTGGATAAAACACATTTTGCTGCTGTCCCTTGTTCACAGCAGTACATTGCCTAGCTTCCATGGCGGTAATTCTGTCTGCGTCTCCAAACTGGAAGCACGAGGACTGACATCCTCTGTAGGAAATAGTACCCCATACAACCCCACTCAAAAAAATCATTTTATCCCTTCAACTAATTTCAGATGCATTTTTTGTTTTTCTAGGTAGCTGCTGTATTTTGACTAACAGTCTAAAAGACTGAGTTGTGTAATCCATCTCAGTGAACATCAAAATACATTATCATTGCATGGTAAAGAAGTCTACGTCCAGACCAATTTCAAAGGTCTCCACTGCATTACAATAATGTTAAAATTACTTGTAATTTTTTAAAGAAAAAGTATATACAGATTAAATGTTCATTGTAATGGATGACTAGCCTGGAAATCCAGACCCAAATCTAGAAAGATTTAGGGTCTGGCCATGAGTAATGAAAATGGCCCAACCCAAGAGGCGGCACCAAGCATGCATTTGTAAATATCACTGCACGCAATTGGATAACACTACGACCAATCAGAACAATACACGGGGTGACGTATCCAGAGCTTAACTACCAGTGGAGCTAACTGGTAGATTAGACTCTTGCCATATCCGGTCAGCAAAACAGCAAAAACGTCCTTCTTGCAAAGAAAAGACTCGAGCGCCATCTTCTGTTCCTCTTTAAGAGAAAAAGCCAAGTCTAACTCGTTCATTGTAGCGGCCAAAGCCGTTTCAAACAACTGGTGTTCATCCGTAGCCATCTTGCAATGTTTACTGACTGATTCTGGACTTCGTTGTCGCAGCGCTGTCGTCATCTGTTTAGCTCGCCTCTGGCACGCCTATATCAGATACACCGATGTGATTGATGCAGCTCGGCTCCAATGGCATGGGTAATGAGCATCATTACTGATTGCCAGAGTGACTCGCTGAGCAAATTCAAATTGTGCTCTCACGAGAACTCTGGATTTCCAGGGTAATGGATGACAGAAATTACTTTCTATTTTGCTAATTGGTTTCCATACTTATCTAAAATGAATAGTGGAAAAATACATTCAAAAACCTAAAGCTGAACTGTTTTTAAAAAAAGTTACTTGTGATGTAAAATACGTTGTTGTAATTGGGCTAAAACATGCAAAACAACTGGTTTTCCGTCATATCAAAAGGTGACAACACACCTATAATACTATTGTATGGTCTAAAAAAATAGATGTGTTTCCTAATAGAGTCATTATCCACAAGTCAGAACACTGGCAAAGCATCACTCTGGTCAATAACCTTTCGACCACCGCATATTTAATGAAAATTTGTGCTATTGGGTTGTAAAAATTCACTTTTTTCACTTTTAAGGCACACAGAGAACTGTCTTGTAGTTTGTGAGCGTACAGCTCATCAACTGTCTGGTATTTCAGTGTATATGAGCTGAAAAACTGCCATAAAAGTCCAGTTTATCTGGGAAATCAGTGGAAAATATACAAAAGCTTTTCAAAGTTGTTTTGGTGATTATCCGTGTCCTCAGACAGGCCCATTTTGACACTGTAGTGAGAGATGGGACACTGAATGCAGGGTGCAGTGAGCACCCACTGTTGTCCTTTTCACTCCTGCCCAACACCCTCCAACCCCCGCAAAACCAGTGTGAGTGCAGGAGGAGTGCAGTGTCATCCTGCAGCCAATACAAACTGAGTGAACAACAAGCACAACACACACACACACACACACACACACACACACACACACACACACACACAGCAATCCCTATAGGTATAGGCGGTTTCTACCCAAAGCAATATTTTACCTGCCTACCACCTCTATTGAATTGGCCACTGCACTCACAACACACACACACACACACACACACACACACACACAAACAACCAGTAATGACTGTTTCCTCTTTGATGACACGTAGCCGAGCCCGTTGCTCGTTTTTTGTTGCAGTGAAGTGTGGGATGGCGTCGCCAAACCCACAGGAATCAATTGCAAAGTCAACAGAGCAGCAGAGAGGGAGGCAGTTCCGGAGCGGGAGGCAGAAGAAAAAAAAACAACACTTCTGTGCTCCCGCTTCTCATTTTCACAGCCACCAGTCAGAGCACCAGTAAACCCACACTATCACAGACCTGCTACACTCATTAAACAGACTCTTATTACAGGATGTAAATGAGGTGCAGGTCTTTGAATGGTAGCAAGCTGATGGAAAATGAATCACTCCTTTAAAAAGGTAGACAGCTCAGTGAACATTAAAAACGCCTTTCTGTTCACAGAAGCTCCTAACAAGATTTCTTCTCTGTTAGAACTGCTGAACAAGTGAACTTCAGCCTCCAATTATGTCCCCTCCTCTGCTTACCCAGCATGAAAAGCTCTAATGATACCAGCAAATTTCATCAGGCCTGCAAAATAGGACTGAAACCAATCAAAAGGTGAAGGCAGAAATAGCCTCACTTGCATTAGCTCTGTGTGCTCTGATTAGTGCCTTTCCTGTGCTGGTACACTGAGACACATTCTGGACTGGTTTAATCCTAATCCTACAAGGAGAGTCTCTCAGGACGGAGCCGCATGTGATGTAAGAGAGAGCCAGGAGTTTGACGCCAGTCAATGAGGATCAAGGAATTTATCGGCAGCCAATCCAACCTGTGTCCTTGTCACAGGCAGATTTATTTTGGGAGATAACGCAGCACCTCAAGAGGTTAAGAACTTTCCACTCTGTCAGATAAACCACTTCTATAAATCCACTGATTATTGTTTTGAAACATGAAAAAAGCTGCAGCCTAAATTTAAGTTTCATGTATAGAAACATGCCTCAACAATTTGTGGTTAAAACTGTAATATTTCAGGGGGAAAAGTTATTTCTGAGCTCATTTCAAGCCTTCATTCCTGCAGTAAAACTGTGGCTGCGAACACTAAAGCTAAAGTATTAGATTTCGCTGAGCGCACCCGAAACGCTTTGTGCTCTTACAACTAGAAATGGCTGTTGCGTGCCACAGAAAAGTGTTGTCAAAAGTTGTAATTATAGGCTCAGCTCAAGATGTGCCAATTGGTTCAAACTACCATGTTGCCACATCAGAGAGAACAAAAAGTCGGAAGTTAGAAAAAAACAGACTGAGCTTATTAAGAGACAGGGAGCCGTGTGCTGGCTGTCATCATTATGCCGTCGCTGTAGACCAGAGTTGTCAACAATCTCCAAGCACACTAGTAAATCAAAAAGTGCAGAGAGAGCACTCCAATTTATCTGTGGTAATTCTGGTTAAACTCTGCAGGTCATGAATCTGTTTTTTTGTCTATGCTCACATGATAAGAGCAGTTTTAATGAGCACGCTTTCAAGGCGAGAGCTCTGAAAGGAATCTTTAAGAAGCACCAATTTACAAAGCTCACAGCCCTGTGTGTGAGCTGCAGTCACAAGTAAATGGATATTCTTTCCTCTGAGGAATGCCTGTTCTGAATTCCTCCTGGCTAATGTCTGTCTGAGTTTAACTAATGAGGGACACTAATATGGGGTGATATGATAAGACAGCCACAGCTCCTGCCCGCTCCTATCAAACAGAACAGAACATGAACCAACTGAGCTGGGATGGCTTCATTTGGTATAGATTAGATAGAGGGATTTGGGATGTTAAATCCAGCAAAACTTTTGGTCCTATACCATCTTAAATGTTGCTTTTAAATACTTAGTGGTGTATAGTAACCAAGGAATGCAGCTGAATGAGTGTGTTGATCCTTTGATTGAAAACATTTTCAACTACAGCTGTAATTTGTGCTCAAGGTGTGAACAACCGCAAAAATCTGCCGAGAGTGACTGGCTGAGAGACAAAACGACAGATAATAATTGGCCCTCGCACATTGGGCCAAAAAACGTGAAGGAAAGACTGAATGAAAGGTCGACAAAAAGCAGGAAGGAAAGGAAACTAAGAATGAGAGGAGGTGTGTGTGTGTGTGTGTGTGTGTGTGTGTGTTTTTGTTGGTTTTTTTTGCCTTACCTGTGGCTCTGCTGGTGGAAGGCCCCCCCTCCTCCTGAGGTTTGCACGCGAGCATCTGTCTGTGCAGATGTAGTGCCTCTGTGGAATGTACAGCATTCCCCTGACTTCCATCTCCCAAACTGCCACAGCCACCAAGGCTTTCCCCGTGCGCCTCAGGCCCAACTCCACTGGCGCCGCCCCCTGGGTTCCTGCTACTGTGACCCACATCCCCTCCCCTGCTGGGCCTCCTCTGGAGCTCTGCTCGAGTGGGGACCAGCAACCGAATGGAGGGTCGGTGAGACATCTCCGGTTCGTCATCCTCAGGGATTGGATTGTACCAGATCTCCCCTTCATCATCTGCGTCATTCTCCTCGGCTGGGTCCACGCTCCGAGAAGACACCTTGGCCTGACCGACGTTAACCTAAATCAACACAGAAAAGACAAAAGAAAGCATGATGCCACCTCAACTGAAATATCAACCACGGTGCTGAATACCAAGTCACTTTCTTAAAGCAATTGTTAAACATTTCGCTTTCTTGATGAAAAGTTAGATGAGAACATTGATACCTCTCGTCTGAATACTAAATACAAAGCTAGAGCCAGCACCTGGTTATCTTAGCTTAGCATAAAGAATGAAAACAGGGGGATTACTGATTCACTGATTAACACGTTACATCTTGTTTGTTTACTCCATGTATCAAGGACAACACATAACACCACGTAAAACCAAAACAGCGAATCAGCCCATATTTTGAAATCACATTCTTGTTAACAGAGAGACCTTGATGCTAACCTGGGGCAGGTGCAGGCGGGCCGGCCGTGTTGGTGCTCCCCCTGAGGGTCTCAGGTGGTCTGGAGAGGGACTGGGAGGAGGCGGCAACTGATGGGAACCCTCCTCCTCAGCTCCCAGCATTCCCTGCAGCTCGTCCTTGGCGCATTGATTCTTCCCAAGGGAGCTCTGCTGCAACCAGTTGCGCTTCTTGGATACAGTGATGGTGGTGAGCGGTGGCCGCCACGACGAAGACTCGCTGGCCCTGCCCACCTCTCGGCCATTAGCGCAGGGGGTTTGGACATTCTCAATGAAAGCTGAGGGTGTGATGGAAAGAGAAAGCATATGAGAGTTACAACTTGTCAGCATAAAAAAAGCAGCTAATCATCATCATGATCATCACTTAGGTAATTATTGAACTGAGGTGAACGGCTGAATCTGATGTTCAACCTCAGACTATTCATGTCGTGTCAAGTTAAAGAAAACATCTGCATCATGAAACCACAGGTGTGGAAATGCTGAATAATGTCATTAAGTTTTATAGAGTCTTCCTCTCTCACCCCTTCTCTCAGAGAGAGAGAGTCACATCTTTGCTTTGTCAGTTGTGATTTTAAAACTTTTGGACTGTTGTGATTTTGTTTTTTACGACCAAAGTCATAGTTTCAATCACACCGCCGCAGCCCCCCCCCCCGGAGAACCTCCCCCCACCTTTTCTCTTCAGTGACTTCCCATCTCGGGAGTGTCAGCTTCAGGAATATGTGGGCTTTGAATTCAAAAGAGATCACAGGGAGATGGAGGGATTGAGCACTCACATATCTTCCATCACGGCAACTTGGAAAAAAGAGCGAGAAACCGCCGGCATTACAGCTGTGAAAATAGAGCAGAGAGGGGAGGGAGTGTGTGTGTGTAAGGGGGCGAAGGTAAGTACAGCCGGTGGCGATATGTGCAGTGAAAAAGGACAAATAATAGGGATGGTGACGTGGTCCCTTACTGTACTAATGAAAGCATTGAAAGAGCTGCATATCTTTGAGTGTGATGATGTGTTTATGGATGTTTTTTTACAATCGTACAAAAACTGCTTCTCCCTAGAAATCAAAAAGCAACCTTGCAAATCATCTGGCGTGTTTTTATTTTCATAAGGGTTGATGAGCAGCTAGAGAAAAACAACCTCTGAGCATGTGTGTGTGTTTGTGTGACGGGCAAAGCGAGGGCAGGGTCTTGCTCTAACATGTAGGGCAGGCTCGTGTAAAAAGACTGTTTTGATCCTCGGCGGCTCCCAGACGAGCCCCTCCACATGCTATAATGACAACTTCTCCTTTCCTCAAGGAAATGCATTTTCACGCACGCCAGGGCTACATCCAGCAAATTATAGACCTGGGAATATTTTCACTTTGAGAAATCGAAATCTAACACAGGGCATCCAGTGTGTACATGTTATAAAAAAAAGTGTGAATGTGTAAAAATTAACCACTTTTTTCATTATTAATCCAGAGCAGTCAAAAAAAGGGAACTGATGTACATTAAAAAATCCCATGGTTTCAAATTATATAACTTCTACTCAGTCGATTGAGACTACTTTTTCTTTTTTTTGCTTGGTTGCTTTTATTGACAAAGCCCTGAAAGCAGCACACAGAGAGCAGAGGGCTCCACCGGGATTTACTTTTCCCTGGAAGTCAACCAGCCTCTCTGAACAGCCTCTCTCAGCTTCCCTGTGATCTACAAGGCAACTTTCTAAAGCAGCTCCCAATAATCACTACCATCTCCAGTGCCTTAAAATCCCATAAACACCAACTCTCTTTCCACAACAAAAACAAGTCCTAAACTTCATCTCTCTACGTGCCGCTCAACTTTTTTTCCCCACTTGAGAAATATGACAAGTATGATATAAAGTGGGATGAAATTGCTTCTGTTGGGAGGATGCCATTCCTCTGCGCTTCAGCTGATTATATAAGACACTGCCGAGTATATAAAACAGCTTTCAGTGGCGAGAACAGAGACCACTTTTGAAGCATTCCTAATCTTGACAGTGAAAAAACAACAAAAACACAACTCATCACAGCCCCTCTGTCATACGTTTCATTTTAATTCAAACATACCTCTACGGTGCACCGGATAAAAGCACATCTTTAACTATTTCTTCCTTTCTGCTCTGTTTAATTTAAGGAAGGTTTACAGCCAGAGTAGTGAGCCAGCAGTGTGTTTGCATTAGCCTGGATTATGCTATGTTTGAGGGCCTGGAGCTCAGTAGCTTTAGCATGTGCCGACTGCTGAATAAAGGGGAAACATGCAATATGTTTCTGCTGCTACACTGAGTCCCATGAGTTAATGCGTAGGCCCGAGCTGGCAGGCTGTAATAATCTGCTGTGGTGGTTTGTTTTCAGATGTTCTGGCCTGGAATGTCTTGTAACCCTTTAAACTCTGTCTGCAAGCAGTGTTTTTACTGGGATTTGAAACTACATGAGGGGGAACCTCCAGAAAAGTAAGCTATGTTATAATAGTAATTTGATTTTTTTGTACACTAGCCTCATAATTCTCTCAGAAAAAATCTTAAAAAACCAACCAAACCAAACCAAAAAGACAAAGACATCCAAAACTACAGACTGGTCAGCCTGTGATTGATTTTTTTTCACTAGATGAACAAAGTTACTACGACTATGAAACGACTATGAAAGAAGCTAAAAGGAACATTTCAGAGGTGAGAAGTTTGTTTACACCCTAATCAGAAATTAACTATCACACACTTGAGGATGGGGATGGATGATAAGTGGAAGATAAGTGTGTAAAAAAAAGGCAGGATATTGGTCAGGGAAGAATTCTTTGGGAGAGAGGGGAGAGATTTTTAAGGCCAAGGCAGATCCAAGACTCTGCCACCAGTAATGCGAGACCAAAGAGAGGTGAGATGGTTGCGCATGGAGTTGTTGTCAGCATGCCATCTTCTTTAAGGGGTCTTTCATAACTGGAAGAGGAAGCGTGTTCTGACACGAGCAGCATTCCAGGCCACAGCTCCAGATTTACAGCCGTCTCCTTCCACTGTCGCACTCCTTTACGGGAGTAACACATTCCCCAGAGCAATGGCAGGACACTCGTTTGACTTATTGGGTGTCATTTTTTGGCCATTTTCACTAGTGTTAAATATGAAAGCACCGCAACACTCTCAAGCTACTATCAGCTTCACACATCAGCATGTCAGCATTTCTCTCTTAACTGCTTTTGATACAAAAAGTGGCTTGTGATTGTGGCAGAAAGCAGAACATTCAGCCTGATGAAAAACAGATAATGGAATCTGAGTCTGCTTTTCTTAAAAATAATCTTTAAAATACAATATGTAGCTTACCAGGGGAACTGTTTTTCAAGATAAGCCGTGTCAAAAGATGTCAACTGAAATATTCAATTGAAAAGATGTTTTTTTGACACTTAAAAGCCAAGACACAAAGAATACAATATGCTAAAGCAAAAGTGGAACATTTAAAATATATATTTGAGTTTTGTTTTATACCCTTGACTAAAATAACCTATAACGACACTTATGGATATGGTGTTTTTTGAGCTAAAACTACATGTTTACTACATGAAAGATTAAAGCAAAAATGTCTTAGTGTAGATGATGTAAAATTTGAGGGGTTTGGGCTCAAGAAGCCATTTGAAGACCTCATCTTGGGCTATAGGAAGTTGCACTATTCATAATATTCTGACGCCTTTAAGATCAAACAACTAATCAATTAAATTAGAAGGTAACCTGCAGATTAACTGAGGATGAAAATCGATAAAAGTAAGAAAACAGCTCCTTTCCCCCTTTGTTTTAATTTGGCCTAAGACCGACTGGCCATCACAGTTACCTACTAACCTCCTATGAACACAATGCAAAGTAATAGAGAAGAGAAATTTCCATAACGGAGCAAACACAGCCTGGCTCCCTGCGCCCCGATGGCATGAAGATGCTGTGTTCAGGGCACTTCCACCCCTGACCTGAAGGTAACAGATGGCCAGAGCACATAATACAAGGGTGCACGTCTGTGTAAGAACATAAAGAGAGAAAGAGAAGGAGAGGTGGATGGGGAGGAGCGATATGGGTTTGTCTGAGGTGCTGAAAGGAATGCAGATACATAAAGAAAAAAGCCTATTTCCTGGTTGTGCTGGTATGAACCTGTGCCACGTGAGCCTGACAGTAAACCCAATTTTATTCATGTCTTAATCTTCTGAATCTTTCTCTCCTTTAAGACAAAACACTTGATCCACTTTCCCATATGCTTCTCTTTTATTTCCTGAATTCCTTCTGCTTCATAGAGGCTCCTCTTTTGATAAGTGCAAAACACACACCAGCTAGTTTTCTCCTCCATACAGACAACACTTTGTTGTGTATACAGAGTTTCGGGCTCCCCCTCCTTTCAGAGGGAATCTTTTGCTGTGTGCCATACATTCCTGTTGACACTCATTCATATGATAATGAGGATTCTCAGTGTAGGTTTTTCTTTTTACACCAACGCAGGGCTGGGATTGTCCAGGGTTGCATCACATGTCAACACTTGCATCCAGTTGAGGCGTCCTGGCAGCGCAGCCTGCTAACGCTAATGTCACTTCCTTCTCAACACGTTGGCTTGAAACCCAAATTCTTTTCAATGTTGCAGCTCTTTCTTTGACTCTTCTGTCTTGTCTCATTGTGCCTGTTCAAAATACTGATAAAAATGCTTCAAGGGAGGGACTATACAATCCAAGAAAGACACATGGACTCACAGTGTGACCCAATTAAACACTGGGAAAATTAAGGCAAGTCATTGAAAGGCCCTTCAACAAAACTTTGTTTACAGTAGCTCCTGATGAAATGCTGCCACTTAAAAACAATCCAAGATACTTTTACCGATAATCAGTCATTAAAATTTCTGAACAAGTTGCTTGTGTTCGCCCCACACTCTGCAGACACCATCATGTGACTCATTCATCTCATAAACCAACCTGTATGAACCCTGATGCCTCATGTTTCTCCTCCATCACCTGATCTGTCTTTAGAGCTCCTATGCTCCATAAATCTGTCCAAGTACACACGCACCAGACAAGACAAATTTATGTGAAGAAAAAAAACCTCAACTCTGCGCTCAGTAACAAGTTCTCTGGCACCACGCAGAAAACCAAACGCCGCATCGTTCTGACATGACTTGACAGCAGTCGAGGAGGATTATGTTACACCTGCCCTCTCGTCTCATTCTTTCGCTACTTTGAATCTACTGAGCAAGCAGGAATTAATGTGATCAAAATGTTGAGCAATGCTGCACCGTGTGCCTAATCCACAGCCGGTCTTTGCTTCATATCTGAGGTGTTATCTTTTAAAGATCTGTTGAACATTTTGGGACACATGCTTGTTTGCTTGCTGTAATTTAGATGAGAAGATCGAGACCTCTCTTATGTCTGAAAGGTAAATATGAATGGTTAGCTTAGCTGAGCGTAAAGACTGAAAACAGGGGTAAACAGCTGGCATGAGTCTGTCCGAAGGTAACAAAATCAGCCTACCAGCACCTCTAAAGTTCACAAACACATTATATATTTAACTGATTTAATTTGGAGGGGGGGAAAAAAGTAAAAATGACACATTGTGGAGCGGAGACTCTGAGAAGTCATTGCGCCATGCCGAGAAATAGTTTAAGTTTATTTACTTTATTAATCCCCCTGAGGGGAAATTCAATGTTTTCACTCTTGCTTGTCAATTACACATAGGTCCGAAAGACACACACATGCACAAACAGGACCTATACATGCACAAAGTGGAGAGATGTCAGAGTGGTTGGGGGGTTCGGTGCCTTGCTCAGGGGCACCTCGGCAGTGCCCAGGAGGTGAACTGGCACCTCTCCAGCCACCAGTTCACGCTCCATATTTTGGTCCGGACGGGGACTTGAACAGGCAACCCTTCGGTTCCAAACCCAAGTCCCGATGGACTGAGCTACTGCTGCCCTAGCTTGTAGTGCCAGTCTGGCACTTCAAGCCAAATAAACAAGATAAAAAGTATTACTTTAGACATAATTTTGAATTTTGGATGAAGCTAAGCTAGCTCTTTGCCCCTTTTGTCTAGTCTTTGTTGCTAAGTAAAGCTAGCCAGCTGCTAGCTGTAGCTTCATATTATACAGACAGGTCTGAGAGAGGCATTGATCTTCTTATCTTACTCATTTCTGGAACTCAACTTATCGTCTATATGGTAAATTATTCTTCTAAAGATGTTTTTGGGGAGATAAAAAGGGCCTTTTTATTTTTTTTTGCCCAATGCTGCTCTGTTCCAAGTGGTCAGTATTTCTAGCAGTGGTGTAGTAGAGGTTATATGCAGGTAAACTCACCTCTTTTAATGGCTGTTTACTGTGTACCCACCTATCATCCAAAAAGTCATTGGAATATGTAGGAGAGTAAACCCACTTCCTCTCTGATGCCTTATCCAATTAAATAGTAGTAAATCCACTTCATCAACTGCCACTACACCACTGATTTCTAGTCATGCAAACAGTGTATGATTTTCCTCTTAGTTTGAAAAAAAAAGAGGAAATAAAAGACTAGAATATCTGCCTCCCAGGAGTGTGTCTTGTACTCCTCTGTTTGTGGTGTCTATGGCTCAGCTTTGACTGACACACCACTCCTGAGTTCAGGCCTGGCCAAAACATGATGCCTGGATACTGCCTGCCTGCCGGCAAAGCCAATCCTCTCCCACAGCACAACACAACAAAACTATAAATCCTCCAACTGCAACTACTGACATGTACACACTGAAGATGTGCATTTGCATGCTCATGTGCACAGTATCCCTCACCTACACATATACATACAAAGGGTGACATGCTAAGCTGTGGGTGACAATCGACGTGATTTTTTTACACAGTAATTAAAGGACAAGTCAGATCAGAAATCAGCTGCAGTCTAATTAAGCCAATATTCTTGTCCTATGACTTCATCGTGAAGTTTAATTTTCTAGTAACACTCAGGGGGAGGAATGGGACTATTTTTAGAATGTCAGTATCGTGAAAATACTTGCATAAATTCAAGATGGAGCCGTAAACTCAACATAGAGTTTCAAGCCAAGACAAGCAATTCACTGGAGCTTTTGAGAGCTTTGGCGTTTCTTTTTCTTTTTTTTTTTAAATGGCTCTTTGTGAGGCGCTGAGAAGCCCACAGGGGCAAGATAAGCCCAGAGCTGACCTTGATAAATGCTTAATCGCCCTTCATTTTGTTCATTCATGGCAAGGAATTAAGTGACACAACGCAAACAAGTTAAACAACGGGAATGGCATTCTAAACATGCAATCCAGAGTCTCTTTAAAATGCAAGTTACCAGGGAGCTGTCCAGAGCAAATGACTGGGGAGGAAGGCAACATGACAGCCCCCCCACCCCCCTCCTCACTCTCAAACACACACACACACACACACACACACACACACACACAACCACTACCACAGAGAATAACTGCAGTGGCTTCTCTCCTGCTTTAGATTCCTCTGGCCACAGCTGTGGAAAAGTTCAGTGGGGACAGAGAAGGGAAAGCTGAGCAAAATGGGGAAAAAATGAGAACCGAGGGGGGAAAGAGACCTTGGAAACTAATATCGAGAAGAGTCCCATCTTTATTTGAACTAAAACACGGCAGAGGAAAGAGCTTGAGTTATAAAAGTTGAAGCTCTGCTGAGCCAACAGCGTCTGGAAGTCAAACACAGAGGCCTTCCGCTTGGCAGCCTCAGAGATCACACTCTATTTCTAGCAGCACAGTACACAGACAGTCAACAGCAGCCTGCGCACATGGCAGGTCATCTATTTACTCTGGTAAACACTGTCAGAACAACACACACGGGCACTCACAAACACACACATGCACACCCAAATACAAAACTACGAGTGGTAGAATTAAATGACGGCGACATCTTTTTGATCCATACAAAGCAGACCTATTTCCACATCATGTGCAACATTAATACCAAGTTTTCCGTACAGACTGTTTCCGAATCCTATGATTAAACTGCCTCACTGCCTTGCTTGCAGTCAGTTCAGGTCAGCATCTACAATAGGTGCCATTCATTTTGTAAAACCCTGCAGTGTAGTTTAATTTATATGCAAAATGTGTTCCCAGTGGAACATACTGTAGGTTACGTCACTGCAAGGTCATGCACAGCCATTCATGAGAATGCAATTAAAAGTGTGTATAACAAGTAGGGAACAAACAATACTAGCATGTCATCAGCATCAGGAGAAAAAGGCCATGAAATATTGGCATCAGCCCTGAATGAACATTTCTGACGATATCACAAGTGGATAAGATGGCGCTTTAAAGGAGCACTGTGTATGATTTGGCGGCATCTAGGGGTGAAATTGAAGATTGCAACCAACTGAATACCCCCCTGCTAACCGCCTCCTACATTGGCCTTCAGGCAACATAAAAATATGACAGACTCTCTCTAGAGCCAGTGTTTGATTTGTCTGCTGCGGGCTACAATAGAAACATGGCAGTGCAACATGGCAGACTCCATAGAGGAGGACCCGCTCCAATGTAGATATAAATGACCCATTCAACACGAACAAAAGCACAACAATTCTTAGTTTCAGGTGATAACACACTAAAAAACATAGTTATGAATATTATATTCAACTTCTGCCAATATATTCCCCTAAATCCAGCACACTGCTCCCTTAATTGTATGACTTTAATTAGCTGAAACAGGTCAAATGGTCCTGGTTGTGACTATTGCCAGGACTAGTCTCAGAGGGAGTATCATCCGAGCCTGTTAAAGTAGGATGAATGTTGTTTGAAAATGTTTCATTAAAAGAAATGTGGCATGTTTTGTATGTAACCAGAGTTGAAGTAGTTTTCTTATTTTGAACAGTGAAGGTGTGAACAGTGTTATGTTTTATGCCAGTGGGCCATCACGGTAAGAAGAAGCACTTTAGGTTCTCTGCCATTAGATGGAAAATATATGAGTGTATTTCGATATAGGCAATCAGGCAAATTGAGTTGCAAAATATTGGCATATTGGATATTGGCAAAAATCCAATATTTTGCATCCCTAATAATAATAAGTGGGTAAATAGAGCTTGTGGTGAGACTGTTTTGTCAAAAGTAAACTTACAGTCACAGCTCTATTGACAACATGGACAAGAAGTACTGGGCAAACTCCATCTGCTGAGAAAGATGGGGTGTTATTGAAAGCTTCAGAACAGCTACTAAACAGACCTTGTGGTGAGACTGTTTTGCCAGCTGGGTAAAGTTTAGTCCTAAACCCCCCTTAATCCCTGACTATAACATGTAAGGGGCATTTTGAACACTTCAACAAAATAATTGGTACAACAGCGTGTCACCTGTCAGTGGTTTCATGTTACAGATGTTTTTCTGTTTGAGCACCGCAACATAAACACAACAGCAACACACAATCAGAAAATCATTTGGCATTTTGCACATAATCAAAAGTCATTCACACAACAAACCAACCCACCACCAGCACCACAGGAAACACCACTGCAGCTAGCAGAGGAGAGAAGGAGTTAGTTGTTACTGAACTACACTGTGAGTGATCCGACCTACAAACCTGATGTGCTATTAATTTAGTGTTAAATGCACCTAAATTAGTGTGAAGGACAGAACCCGCCACCGGTTAGAAAATCTCAAAAGGAAAGCAAAGAGGTCTGAGGTGTCTCAACCCTTTGCTTTGCATCCAGAAGAGGAGGAGTGCAGGGTGAACCGCCACCAGACGGAGTTTACTATGAGTGGAGGAGGATGGCAATAATCAGACGGGAGGAAGGAGGGTGAGAGCTCTTTGATTTAGAAGATCCACGGGAGTTGAGGCCACTCCGTGTAGCCTTCCTACCTGGCTGCTGCTGCCGTGGTGACTTGACCTTGACAGATTTAACCCCACGGCTGGATGTCTGGACCCCTGGTTTACACACGCCGAGGTTACCCTGAGGACAGGGCCGGTCCTGGCTTTGGCCTCCACCGCGGGGCAAAGCTGAGCCCTCAATTCGCTGCTTCATCTCAGAGGACAACAGACGCCCCTTGTGCATCCACTCTTGCATCTTGTTGACAGTAACACCATGCCCCTTGTTGACAGAGTTGGCCCCTTGTGCTCGGGCATCAGTCGGCTCCTGCTTGTTGTTGTGACCCTGATTTGTTGATGCATCAGCATTGCTGTCTGAAGAACCTGTGAGGCTGTTGACCGAGCCGCTGCTCTCGTTGAGCTGCCCGCCTCGGTCTTCGTCGCCTGCAGCATCTTGTAGCAGCTCATCACTGCTGACAGCGTTGTAAAGGACCTGAGGTTCTGATAGCTCACCCACTTTTGTCTCTGTGGCCCCCTTCTCACCACAGATGTGTGGACTCTGCGTTCCAGAGGCCTGAACACAGAGTGTGGGTCCACCTTGATACCTGATCGCGCCATCACTAGCTGAGCGCAGTAATCTAGGTCTTATGTTGATCAAGGACAGGTTTAACATACTCTTACTATTCAGCCTGCCTCTGAGGCATGACTCAAGGTTCCCACTGAGGCAAACCAGCAGTGAGTCAGTGTCAGACACCTGCTGAGGGCTGTGGTCGCCTCCTGAGGACCAGGAGTCACTGTCCATGTTTTTGACAGACAACCTTGAGCACAGGCTATCCCTGGAGTGGCTACTACAAGAGGAGGTGGCCTGCTGCCCTGTTAAACCACCGCTAATCTGCTGGACATCCAGGTTGATATCATTCATAGCATTGATAAGAAGGTAATAAGCTTCTTTCAGCTGGTTCCTAAGCCTGTCTGTTTCCTGCGCACTCTTACTATCATCAAGCTGTCCTTTATCCTGACCGGGCTGTGGCAGCTCTGCAACCTCTGCTCTATCGCCATCACTTTTTGCCCTGATGGTTTCATAAAAAGGCAGAATTTCGTTATCATAATAATCCTCATCTTCACTGTCTAAAGTGTATCTGAGTGGCCCCTCTGTGGCGCACAGGGATGCCATGTTAATGTCGCATATTTCTAACTCTGTGGGGAAAAAGGTCGGGCTCTGCAGACCGCCTGCAGTCCCTCTAATGTCCCCTGCATACTCGGGCTCATAAGTCTCAACATCTCTGATCACAGTGTTTTCTTCCGTGTTTGTTGACGCACAGTTGGGATGTGATTGAGCCGCGCACACTGGCGAGCTTGTCTCCAAACTTTGGTTGTTGTCAAAACTCCAGTTGGCGTTGTGTTCATTAACTACAGTCCCTGCCATGTGCCGGGAGTGTCCTCCGTCTCTGGGCTCTGTCCCATCACTATCAGCAGTGGTGACGCAGCCCTCTGGTGGTTTACCGACCCCGGTATGCGGCTCTACCCGTGCTCGGTACAGAACGTGATTTGAATTGTCCCCAAACCCGATTGAGTCCCCGACGCTGCACTGCCGCGGCACCGAGACGAAGTGTTTTCTCTGGACATGCGGTCCTCCAAGCGGGACTCCCGCAGCTAACGTGATTTTGCCAGCGGATCTGGCCCCCCGGTGGCTCCTATCTCCCTCCCGAAATTCATGTCCCACAAACTGCACGTCTCTTTGAAGTGAGACCCCCAGGAGCTCCTCATTAACCCGAACCCTGCCCCTGCTGCTCCGCTCCTGGGGACGTGCGCCGGACAACTCTGCTGCGCGACTCTCCCGGACTATCACAACCCCCCCTGTTTGCACCATCGCCCCGTCAACACAATTCTCGTACGTGCTCATTCTCTCTGTCGTGCAATCCAGCTCTGTGATCAAGACTACCGGGCGAGCCTCGTCGGAGTCTCGCTGCGTTTGCAAAACTTTTTCTTTACCTTCTCGGCCCCCATTCGCCGCAGCAGCAGCAGCAGAGCCGTATCCACCGCCGACCGTCGCTCCTTTCTTGGATTTCTTCCCCCGGAGTTTCGCTAGTAAAGTCCTCCGCAGAGGATCAGCCATTCCTTTCCTTTGCCCCCAGTTAATTCCTTCCAGTTTCTTTCAGCACGCTGGCTCCAGAAGGAAAGGGCCGAGTGGGTTCTCCTCGCTCGCCGCGGTCAAAGCTCGCCGGGCGGACGAGCTCCTCTCCATTCTCCGCTGTCACCTCCGCTCTGTCGCCTCACTCACTCCTGGATCACTGTGCTGAACTGCACCACCTCTCTCCCTCCCTCTCTCTCTCTCTCTCTCTGCCCTACACACACACACACACACACACACACACACACTTTGCCCTCCTCCCTCCCTCTCTTTCTCTCTAGCGCCTCACCTCACCTCCTCATGTTTGCAGCTCAGATATTTGCCTAGCTCAGAGTTCAGAGACCATGCACAAAAATTATTCGCAGAAAATTACATGACACTGAAAGTCCACCTAAATTAACCTTTCTAATGCTTGTCATATTCACAAAGCAGCAAATCCTCATAAGCAAAGCAGTACTGGCATTTGGGATTGAAAATTAGGCTACTTTGTAACAGGCCAGGCAACAGTAGGGTAATAAAAATGGTTGCAGATTAATTTTCTGTAGCCTAGATGTAACAGAAAGTAGCCTAATTGATTCAGCTCTGCTTTATAGATCAGTTATAAGCCTTGTGTACGAAGAAGTTTTTGGTTGCCAGGTTGTGGAAAATCCCTTTTGCTAATACTGCAGTTACAAATCTTGATACAATTAAAGTGTCACAAGTTTCCCAAATACACCAGTAAGTCTGCAGTTATATCAATATGTGATCAATAAATTGAAACGACATGAAATTTTAAATAAATCATCAGTTACCCATTTTTAAATCATTAATAATGAAATTAGTGTGTTTACAACATTCCTTCAGGTCTGTGGATGTGAAAGTTGTTCAATCTAAATCTGTAGCTCCTCTCCAGAAGGTTGGAGGTTAAATGATTCGAAAAACAGCCTTTTGGCTAACTCTGGCACATTTACAGCAGTGTTTGTTAATGTGCACTGTCCCTGTTAGATAAACTAATAGGCATGAATAAAATGTTTCAGGGGTCTTTCTGATTAATTAAAAAACTAAAACGTTAATGCAAGTGTCCTGCTGCAGGAGGAGAAGCACCATCCACAACATAGCAACCCAACAGTCATTTGATTTTATTAATGGCTAATAATTGATACTCTTTTGTAAATCTGTTATTAAAGGTCCAGCGTATAGGATTTAGGGGCATGTATTGGCAGAAATAACATATCATATTTATAATCATCTTTTCCTTGTTTACAGTCACCTGAGACTAAGGCCATGTTTACACGAAAATGATCCACTGAAAACGGAATCGTTTCTCATTTTCGTTTTGAAAAAAGGTTCCGTGTTCAGATGACGTTTTGATAACAATTGCTGTGCACAGGGATCCGCAAAAATGACCAAAAGCGCTGCAGTATACATGCCAAGCCAGTAGTTGGCGGTGTGACTTCGCAATGAAACAGCACGCGCCTGCGCACCTGCGCATCTTTCTACAGAGCGGTGCTATATAAACAATCAAAATGGCAACCGCACAAACATTTGTCTGGACAAACGACGAGGTGGAGTTGCTACAGTAAATCTATATTATGATGGGGAAGCGTTGATAAATTAATAGGGTGAGTGGCACGAACAGAGCTCGGGAGTCTGCCATTGTTGTTGTGATGGTCGACTTTCTTGCATATACCTAGTGACTGGAACTGTAATGCGCATGTGCGAAAAGCCTCCGTTTTCAGAGGAACTGCATATTGCAAGTTTACATCACAACGGAGACAGTGCCATTTCCAAAAAATTGCACTCCCAAAACGCAGATGTAAACGATCAGCCAAAATGCAACTAAAGTTTACCGTTTTCAGTTGAAATCGTTGTCGTATAAACAGGGCCTAATAATTGTTGTGTTTTATGTTGTTACCTTAGAATGAGTCGTTTATATCTACAGATGAAGCGGGTCCTCTGCCACAGAGACTGCCATGTTGTTTCTACAGTAACCTGGAACAGACAAACCAAACACTGGCTCTAAATACGGCGATTTGGGTTTTTGAGTTTAGTGTCAGTCATTACCAGAAAAGTTTCAGTTGGTTGCAATCTGCAACCTCAGCACTAGATGCCACTAAATCCTACACACTACACCTTTAACTATAACATGTAGAGCTGAAACGGCTAAATTTATTGTTTAGTTAATAGACACAAAGTTAATCAGCAGCTGTTTTGATTAATTGATTAACTGTGTCATGTAAAAATGCCAAACACATCAATGTAAACTGTATATCTTTAATTTTTAAAGTGTTAAACGAGACATTTAAAGACGTCATCTCAGATTGTGGAAAATCATAATGGGAATTTTTCACTGTGTTTTTAATAATCAAAACCTCAATCCATTAATGATTTAATCAAAAAACAGTCAGCAGATTAACAAGTAATGAAAATAATCTTTAGTTGCAGCCATAATCACATCAGTGGTGCAAGAAGAATTTAGATCTTTTAATACAACGGGATGAAATACCACAATATAGAAATACTCCATTATAAGTAAATGTATTGCAATAAAATTTGCACTCAAGAAAAAGTACAAAATATCAGCAAAATATACTTAAGTGAATACACAGATCGGCCTATTTGTAAGTGTTATGTTTATCTTATATGATATACTATTACTGATGTACATGTGAGCAGCATTTAAATGTCAAGATGAAGTATTTTAATTACGTTTTTTGATAGTTTTATCTATAAAACAATGTCTTTAAGATGATTGTGTATTTTGGATGAAGCTTTAATCTGATTTGGATGAATTTCTGGATGAGGCTTTAATCTGAAAATTAACGTTGGTTGTCAAATAAAGTGGAGTCAAAAATGCAGTATTTCCCTCTGAAATGTGTTGGAGCAGAAGTATAAAGTATCATTAAATGGAAACACTTTTAAGTACAAGTACCTCAAAACTATACTATGACACTGGAGTAAATGTACTTATTTACATTCTGCCAGTGTATTCCATGTATTTCATTTAACATTCAAAAAAGTATGAGTGCATATAAAGGATGAGAATTCCTCCAAATGTTATCTGAATGTTGCCTTAGTAATACAGGTGTATGAATGTAATCTCATGCCCAGGATGAGACTGTAAGATTAGGTCTGGCTGATGGCATATGTGAAATGCAGCTCCAGCCTTTCTATTGAAATTCAAGACATATTTGTTCCCGAAATGTGAATTAAATTCAGCTGGAGAGCAGCGAGCTAGGACTTCAAATTACCACCTTCACTGGTAGCTGTGAAGGCATTCCAGCAAACAGCAGAGAAAACAACTCTGGTCTCAGGAGAGAAACGCTGCTCGACCCTCTGCAGAGAAAGTGAGGGGAAACAATGAGGAGGATGGTGATAACCTCGCAGCTCTCGCTCAGCCTTTACAAATGAGCGGGATTGTGAACGTCATGAGAAATTTGTCTTTTCATACTTTCATCTTCATTATTGCGCACACATGAAGGCTATTTTTCATCCTCCGATGGAGACGCCAGCCTAAAAGCATGGCCTGCCACATGATGGATCACTGTCGATTATCAGACTGACACTTTTATCTGAAGTGTATCTTGAGTAATCCTCTCCTCTTTGACCTTGCATCTAACCCCTGTCCCTGCTCGCAGCCCAGCCCGAGACTTTAAGAATGTCTGAGACAGCAGAGAAAGGAATGAAACATACTTCACTTGAACCTTAAGCCATTTGTTTGCTGTTGCCTCTACTTGGAATGTGTGAGAGGATGAGCTGCTGAAAAGCTGCAGTGGGTGTAAGAGTGCACATGCGCTCTCTGCCTCTCTTTAAGGCACACATACTTACACTCAAATACCTACACATTCCCCCTCTCTCTCTCTCACTCTCTGACTGATTCTGACTCCATTATATCCCTCCTGGCATAACTGTGCCTCTCTTTTCAATGTCTACCCATGATTGAGGGCATTTATTGTCGGAGCCATTCATCGACAGGGCCCCACATTCACCCTCCTCCTCCCCCACCACCACCACAACCCTCAGTAAAACATGATAAGCATCTGTTATTGCTCTGCAGGAGCCGTGTAGGCCCTGACGCCTCGGCCTGCCTCCCCATCTGACTGACTAGACCCTGTCTGGGCACTTATTTACAGGTCAAAACCTGCAGGCTGCATAGTGCATGTTTGTGTGTGAAAGAGAGAAAAAGGGAGAGCGTGGGGGGATAGCAGAGGGCATTAGGGAAAAGAGGCTACATACATCAAGAAGGACACAAACAGAAGTGTTGCAATTTCTCAGCACAATCACCACAGGGCAGGAGCGGGATCTTTTTGACAAATAACATATTTTGTTGCAATTTTCATGCTGGAAATGTTTTGCATTCCTGAAAATGTGATCTTGTCTTGTGATATCTCTAGAGGTTGCACAGCAAAACATGCAGTGATGGCTTGTTGATGTATGGAAATAGGGCTGGAAGAGGTGCTGGTGTTTAACTTAGCACTTGTACTTGGGTAAAACATGGAGGTACTTTTGCCTTATTTGAAAAATTGTTTGAACTATAAAATATCAGAAATTAGAGGGGGGAAAAGTCCATCACAAATTTTATGGTTGAAACTTGTTCATTTGTGCATAATATCATCTGTAGTTTAATATTGCATACACCTTTGAGCTATTTTCGCAATAGTAACAAGCTAAGACATTAAAATGAATGATAATGATGCTGTATTGAAATGAACAGTGACCCCTGACCCAAAGAGTTACAAAATGTTGCACTGTTTTCAGTTTAGTTGTTGCGCAAAATGTTCAAGCATTGAAATAAACTCTTTTATACTTCATTACATACTTGTGTCTACTTGAAATAAACCCATTGTCCTTATATGAAGACATATTTTTTGTCAAAGACAGTGATTAGTTTTTCAGATTCAGATTCAGATTCAGAATACTTCATTAATCCCCGGGGGGAAATTGTTTTTTTTTAATACTTATCAGGTCCTACTAATCCCAAATAGCTCAGCGAAATTGAAAGTGCATACCAAACAAAAGCTGAGGTCTCAGGAGGATATACTCACCGGAGCTAATCTATTTCATTACATTAGTTCTAGTTATTGTCAACAAACCCATGAAAAGACCAAAACCAAAAATGAATTGATCCTATTGACAAATATTTCCTGATATAACGTAGTTTTTTGTGCTATAGAGATCCTTTGTTGTCCACTATTAAAAAC